TTTTTTACTACTAATTAGTTACAAAAATTGGTACATGTCGTAACACAACAATTCAAAATCACCAATCGAAGCCCATGATTAACACATGACAAGTGTTTAAAACATATTATTGACTGTTTTAAGTATCTTTACATTCTGCATTCCATTCTAAAAAAAAACACATATATACAAATAAATAACAATACCTATATACAACAACGGAAAAAGCAAAACTAATTAAAAAAGGAACCATATAACAATAATATTAGATATACAAAAAAACGGTGAAAGTGGTTGAAACGCGAGTAATCAAAATCAAAAGCGTCCGCGTTTTCTTCTATATGCCGTGTTCCTCCGTTTAAACCACTCGCCACGTCAGCTCCAACGACTTTTCAAACACACACGCTTATGGAGCCCACCAAAAAGGCTAATTAACCAATCACGATCCTTGTTTTCTCCGTACCTTAATACACGGGTCTGGGCCCCACCATCTCAACCAGCTCCACCGCAAACGCCGCACGTCACGCCACGTCACGTCAAACGTCTACCAACAAATCCGGTCTTCTCCCCGAAGTAAACCGCGTCATCCCACCTAAACCGGGCAACAACACCGGTTCCCCACCGTCCACCGATCGCCTCGAACCGGTGCTTAACCTCGACGGCGAGAATTTACCGACGTCTCCCGGCGGAAGCCGTCCTCTGATATCGGTCGATCTTCTCGCCGAAACTCTCGGAGGAGTGACCGCCTCCCGCCCCGGCGCGTGAGCTCCACTCGCCGACAAGTCTTTGCAACCACCTCCGGTTCTGAAAATGGCTCTGAAGCTAGCGAAAAACCCGGGTTTCTTAACCCGAACCGGTTTATCCTTAAAAGAATCGGTTCGACCGGATCTCTGTCTCTGCATTCGACGGCTACGGTCACGTTTAGATCTCACTCTCCCAATGCAAGAAACTTTCGGAGAAGAAGGCTCCGATAACGAAGGATCCGATTTCAATCTCGACCCGAACCGTTTCGGGATCATCAGAGTCCTCGCGATTCTGCAGTTTCTCCGTTTCTTCGCTTCGTTGAAACAAGTTTTCTGTGGTTTCGGTAATCTGATGATCGAGGCCTTTGATTTGAGAGAAATTCGCTGTGAGCTCGAATTAGGGTTTGATGATGAATTGGGATTCGAATTCGAAGATGAGTTTCCTTTTTGCGATTCTTTGCGTTCGAAGAAAGCGTTCTCGTTTAGCCACTCAACTTGTGCTTCTTTGGATAATGAGTAAGATTCCGGTGGAAAATCGATCGGAGTCGATGCGGAGTCGGAAACGGGTCGGGTAATCGGGTCATGGGTGGAGTCTTTGTCGATGGCGAGAGTCTCGCATGCGATTTTCCGGTCGGAGCATACTGAAGAAACAAAGGTTTCGAGATCGACTTGTGGCATTT